CTGGAGCTACTTGGAATTGCCCTCCGCTCTTCCCCAGTAGCATGTTGGACACCTTCCGACCCGAGGGGCTCATCTTCCGGCATCATATCTTTTATCCTTTGTCCTCTTAGCACACCTTTGACTCCTCCTTCATCCAAGAAACCAGTGGTCTCCTTGGCTGGCTTCCTGCTTCTAATGGGTTTGAAGAATCATTTGTTACCTTTCTCCATAGTTTCGGCAATACGTTCCTCTCATTTTCTTTTTGCCTCCCTCACTGATTTTTTGTGTTTCTTTTGCCAGAGTTTATGCTCTTTTTTTGTTTTCTTCATTAGGACGGGTCTTCTACTATATAAATGATACTTTCTTGGACTTAATAGCCTCCTTTACAACACTGGGCAACCATGCAGGCCGCTTCTTGAACTTTGGGGGCATTTTCCTAATTGTAGGTATACCTTGTGCCCAAGCCTCTGTTTTTGTGGTTCTAAACAACAGCCAAGATTCCTAGAAGGAGTTTGCCTTTTCAGTTTTCTCTGACATTTCTTTTTCACCAGTCTTCTCAATTTTGAGAAATCCCCCTTTTTGGAGTCAGATATGACTGTGAGGGACAGCTGTGTAGGTTATTGCTTCTTTGAATGTTGAATGTTATCGCACTATGCCCATATATTTCTCTCACCAGGTCCTGAGTACTACTTGAGAGTAGGTTTAGTATTGCTTCCTCCCTCATCAGTGCCATGACCAACTGTCTTTCCTATGGAGTTTGTCACCAGGAATAGCCATGTCCCCCTGATATTCCCACCAGGTTTCAGTTATGCCCACTATATCTGTACTCTTTTCTCTCACCAGGCACTCCTTCACCCAGTTTGGCCCGCAGGCTCCTGGCATTTGTGTACAAACACCGGTACACAGCAACTTTCACTGTGTCCTTTTGATTATTTTGGTTTGTGCCACATTCTCTTCTTTCATTTGTTCAGCCTTGTTGAACAATTCATTCAACCTTGTTGAATGGTCATCATCTCTGACTTGGTTATCCTCTCCTATTTCTATCACTTCCCCTTTAAAACAAGCATAATTCTTTTCAACTCCTTCCCTAAGCAGTGATGTTTCTGAACCTCAGCTCCTTTCAGCTTTCCCCCTGCCCTCAGTATAATCCCTACCCTTTTAGCCTTCTGGAGGGCTGTGAAGACTTGGCTTTCCCCCCAGGCATTGGACTAGGATGGAGGTTGCGCTGCGAAGATGTTTGGTCTGACACCTGGGAGGAGGAGTACCTTTGTTTTTAACCATGTTTTATAGATTTTGTGAGCCACCTAGAGTCATTGTATGAGATAGGTGGTCATATAAGTCCTGTAACCAAATAAACAGTTGCTCTGCCATCTTTTTAATTTTAAACACTGGCAGTTTGTTCCCATTTTGGTTCAAGTGGAGCTCATCCCTCCTGTAGATATCCAGCTTTTCCCAAAACGTTCTGCAATGCCTAATAAATAGGAAGCCCTCTTCCTGGTACCATCGCATCCATCCTTTGAGATGTTTCAACTCCACCTGTCTGTCTGGTCCTGCACGTAGAACAGGTAACATTTCAGAGAAAGCTACCCTGGAGTTCCTGGCTTTCAACTTCCTGCCTAACAACCTGAATTTGCTTCCAAGACCTCCCAGCTATGTTTAAGGATATCTTTGATGCCCACATGCACCATGACAACTAACTTCTCGCCAGCACCCCTAGCAGCCTATCTAGGTGGCGTGTGACATCTGCAACCTTTGCACCAGGCAGGCAAGTCACCATGCAGGCCCACCGGACACCCAGATAGCTACATTCCTGATGATCGAATCACCTACCATGGGAAGCCCAGGTCTCCCAGGAGGAGAATCTTCAGGGCTAGAGGACACCTGTTCATCCCCTAAGGAATGGGTCCCATTCTTCTGAGGGAGCACTTCCCTGTTCTTCAGACCGGTGTCCCCCTTCCCTAGGACTCTCCCTCCCTCAGCTGCTACCCCATGAGGGGGATTGGCTATCTTGTCCCCAAGGGCCTTGACCTGCTGCCTCTTCACCTCTCCTACTGCTTCCAGGAGCTCCTTGCACAAAGCAGAACTCCCAGTATCTCTGTCCATCAGTCAGCCATGCTTTTGGCACTGCACTGTACCACGTGTATCCTGCCCCTGCTGGCTGTCCACCTTCATATCTCTTTTAGATCGGTGTTTTTATGTTTGGCCTGATGGTTTAAACGTATTTTGGAGATCCGTTATATTTCCGTTTAAGTTTGAATTTTAGCCCATCCTCCCTCTCAAGGGTTCTCTGGCCCCACCCCCTGCTTGCTAGAGAACAGAAGGCCCAGCAGCTGCCCCAAGCCCCCAAACACTCAGAAACCCCACCAAATACAAGGATGAATCTTCCCCCAACATGTCACACTTTGCTCCTTCCCTTGATGTCTCCATATTCCACCGCAGCTTCCCTGGGTTCCACACTCCATTCCTCCTCTGCACAGTAGCAGGTACTTGGCCTTAATGGATCTGTTGAAGCACCTCTCCAGCAGATGTGCTGCTCTTGCTGTGGCGGGGGGAGCTTACCCAGGGATAGTTTTGCCTTGAGGACTCCAGAGAGACACTTCTTGGGAGATGGAGCTTATTCTGCAAGAATAATCTTACAGTAGCAGAACATCCAGGATGCAAATTGAAATAAAGAGCAGTAATGTTAGTAAAGGCAGCAACAATTATAAATCATAATCTAGGTCTTCCAGGGAACATACCCCCCTGGATCATGAGTATTTCAAGAACAGATAATTAGGTCTTCTTTTGCTCCCTGATGCTTCCATGTTTTCAGGCTCCATGTTTTAACTTGGTGATTTCTGAAAGGCAAAGTCAAATCCTTGGGCCAGGGAGTCCCCCACCCACCTACAGTTGGGGTAGCTGCTCACCTTGCTGCTAGTTAACCAAGCAGGTTGTGCCCCATAGTTGCAAGGGTGCCCAGCCGATAACTGGTGCAGACATTTAAGACATTTGGCATCTTGCAGGGAATGCTGATGGTCCATCATGGGTTTCCAAAGCTACGCTTAGGGAATTATACAATAATGCCCACGAGTCTCTAACAAACCTGCTGCTGCTGCTTCCTGAGCCTCGTCTCCATGTGCTGCTTGCCTCATCCTGGGTTAGTGAGCCAGCTAAGGTAGCCAGCCCCACCACTGGGCAAGTTACAGCACAGTAAAAATAGAAAATGATGCAAAACATTGCATGAGCTCCAAATACCTCCCCCTCTAGCAGTCAAGTAAAAGCTTGGTGAAATAGGGCTGTTTTGGCGGTTTTTGGAATGCCACAAGGGAGGGGGCTGTGCAGAAAGAACGGTCCAGAATGTGAGGGCACAACAGAAAAGGCCTCACATCTCCCTAACCTCTGACTGGGCAGGAAGCCTACTGGGGATAAGTATTTTAGGAGAGAGATTGCCCTGCCACAGTAGCCTTGCCAGCACTTTCTGGACCGGCAGCAGCTTCCAGGTCATCTCCAAAGGCTGTCCTGTGTAAGGGAGTAGGGGCACAAGTCCAGGTGGGGTTGCAACTGGTGCAGCAGGTGGCACTGGGCAAAGGCCTGCCCATCCCACCCAGTCCTGCCAAAGTGTTTCTCCATCATCTGTCTGGGCCTCCTGCAGAGAGTTTGGTGGCAGAACTGTTCAGCAGTAGGGTGAACGCTCGTTCTAAGGAAGAAGTTATAAACACTGAGGAAAACGAACAGTTTGGAGATTCCATTTAATGTATGTTTGCTGAGAACTCAAAAAGGAAGGAATTGGATTCAAGCAAGCCTGATTTAGGAGGCAGGTCTAGCATGAGAGAGCATGTCAGCATTTAAGGGGAGGAATAGAAAAGTAGGGGGGAAATACAGGTCTTTCTTACTTCCTTGTGCCACTTTAGAAGAGAATTAAGGGAAAAATAAACTGCTCCAAAAAATAAAGCTTAACCTATGCAAGTTTGGAGGGATTCTGGAACTGGTTCTAAAGCAATCTCTGCTCCCTCCCCTGTGAACAGCAGAGTCCCATAGGGTTTCAGGGCTGGGCATGTTTACAAAACAAATCTGTCAGGAGAGTGGGAACAAGCTCAAAATGGCAATATTTTTTTCCCCAAACTTGGCATTGTTTCTCCCAGCCTCCAAGCCCTTAAAGAGACAAATTCAGAACACTTTGTACATTCCTCCCTGTTTTGTGCATCCCTCCCCCGAATCCTCTAAAAGGGCTAGCCAGAAAGGGTTCAAGTTCCACCCATGGCTCTTAGTGCTTTTTGTGTTAGAACTGATGCATAATCGGATTTCTCTCTTCTTTCCACCGATCTTTGTTCCAACAGAGGCTGATTGAAGAAGAGAATATGTTGGCCCCTTCTCCAAAACAGTTCTCTCTGAGAATAGAAATGCTGCCTTCCTACATACCAGTTCGTGTTGCTGAAAAAATCCTCTTTGTAGGGGAATCTGTGCAGATGTTCGAGAGCCAGAATGTGGCCCTTACCAAAAAAGGTATTGTGGTCGGTTGTGATTTCTTCCTAGTGAGCTAAGAATTATTGTGGGCCCATTGCCCCAATCCTGTTGCTCAGCAAATCCTTTGCATGCTCTTTGCAATCCAGCTGCAGAAATCTTTCCTGCCTAGCAGATTTGCCGTTCTTTTCAAAGCTGGGCTGTAAGCTAAACAGTCTGGGTAATCCTTCTCTACACATAGGCCAGGTTTGCTAAAAAAAACCCTGTTCTGCTTGTCCCCAAGTGGGACCAGTCAGGGACAAGCAGGATCTTAAAGTAGGTTCCAGTAACGAAGGACCTTGAGATCAATCTGGGCAGGATGAATGATAGAAGCTGCAAGAGGGCTTTGTGACTAGAAAATCAAAGAAAGATCCTTCACAATCCATTTCAGCCATTTGCCTTTATGAAGTTTTCCCTCTGATTCCAAGGCTATAGTATACTGCTCCCCTGAGGATAGTGCATTTTCTTGCTTTGAGACATTTGAAGCTTCTTGATTATCTGTACTGTAAACTAAAACTCACCAATCCCCTTGGCCAACCCTCTTGGATTCCCAAATGTTCCCCTGTCCCTTGTTTGCTGCTCTGGGATCTTGACTAAACTGATGCATTTATGCAACCTTCAACTGCACGTAGAAGGCCTTGAAAAGAGGGAAAAGCCTCCATGGGAATCTCTTGTCCACAGGCTCCATCTTGAAGAATCAGGAGGACACTTTTGCTGCTGAGCTGCATCGTCTCAAGCAGCAGCCCCTGTTCAACCTGATGGACTTTGAGTCTGTGGTTGACTGGATCCGGAGCACTGTGGCTGAGGTTAGGCTTTGCACGCTAAGCACTTTTGCAGGGTACCCTTAGAAAGCTTTTCATAATGGGGAGAAGATTCTAGAAGAACCCTAACCCATAGAAGGGATGACCAGCTCACAAGGAGGTAGGCAGATGGTATCTTGCACGAAGAAGGGGGGGGGAGGAGCACTGGATTGTACGGTGGCAGTAGGATATAGCTTCTGGATCTTGATGCTGGGGCTTTTTTTGGTCTTTCCTAAGCACTTATGGAAGCTGATGGTGGAAGAGTCCGATCTGATAGGACAGTTGAAGGTAAATATGCGTTCCTGCAACTTTTGAGGTTCTGTTCCCCAGTGGAAGGAAGATTGGTCAAAGCTGCTGAACAGGATGGTTTTAAAGATGTTGCCTTTGTTCTAGGTCATTAAAGATTTTTATCTCTTGGGGAGAGGAGAATTATTTCAGGCCTTCATTGATACTGCACAGCATATGCTAAAGACACCACCGTCAGGAGTGACTGAACATGGTGAGTCTCTCAGTCTCCAAAAAAGCCCTGCAGATTGAAACACTCCTTGTTCCCACACTTACTGTTGAAGTATGCCCTATATTATCGAAGTCTTAATGCAGAGGAGACAGCATTTAATTCTGAACATAGGTGGTTTGGTCTCTGAGAGCAGCTGAGATGTGTGGAAAGCGGGGAGGCGGCAAAAGGCATATTTTCCTTTGCCCCCAGCTAAAAGAAAGTTCTCCGCTCGTTTCCTTAGATGTGAATGTGGCATTCCAGCAGTCAGCCCACAAAGTGCTGTTGGATGATGACAACCTTCTACCTTTCCTTCATCTGACTATCCATTACTATGGAAAGGAACACCGAGGTGAGAGTTGGTGTAAGAGGCCAGGCTGCATTTGGGAGTTACAAATGGGAGCCTCCCTCACTTTAGCAGAGACCTCTGCATAAAGCCACAACTTCATTTTTTCCCCTGAAAGACAGCACAGATCTAGGAACCTAGCTTAATGACTGCCTAGGAAGAGGATGCTCCCTCTCTGCCTCGAGTCTTCATAAATGCTCTTTGAGGAAGAGGCTATAGAAGGAGGCAAGAGTGTGTGTGTGAGAGAGAGAGTGTGTAACTTGGCCTGCTCCAACACGTTGCGCTGTTGCTTTTTGGGTCACAGCTGTTACCTTCTGTTGCTCAGCTGCATCCTGTCCAAGTTGTTCACTGGACTTCCTTTTCAGACCCTTCTCAGAACCGTGAAACACCTTCTCGAGAATTATCTCCCCATGAATCCCCCACTTCTGGCTGGGCTGCTTTGGGGCTCTCCTACAAAGTTCAGTGGCCTTTGCACATCCTCTTCACTCCTGCCATCCTGGAAAAGTGAGAGCTTTTGGGGAGGGATGGGAGAAGGGAAACCACCATGTTCTGGGGATGCTATGCTTTCTGGCCAGGGGCTCAGCCCAGCCAACTTCAGCTCGCTTTTGGCTGCAGGTACAATGTGGTCTTCAAATACCTGCTCAGCGTGAGGCGAGTCCAGGCTGAGCTACAGCACTGCTGGGCTCTGCAGATGCGATGCAAGTGCCTGGAATCCAAGCGGACAGATGCCATCAAGTGGCGGCTGCGCCATCACATGACTTTTCTCGTGGATAATTTGCAATATTACCTGCAAGTAAGAGTTTGCCAGTGCAACTGAGAAAGGTCTGGAGCTGCATCTAGGGGAGAAAGCAGCTCATTTGCTTCGTTCTCATACCCAGACTTTCCCTCTGGGAACTGCTGGTTGAAATTGCTCCCACAACTTCTTACAAGTATTTCTGCACTTCTCCTTGACCCTAATTTTTCTAGTTTGCTTTCTTTCAGGTGGATGTCCTTGAGTCTCAGTTCTCACAGCTCCTTCAACAGATCAATTCTACCCGTGATTTTGAGAGTATCCGACTGGCACACGATCACTTTTTGAGCAATCTTCTGGCCCAGTCCTTCATTCTGCTGAAACCAGCAAGTGCCTCTTATGTCTATATGTTGTCAAAGGCCACTTCCCCTCTTGGATCCTCACGCTGCATTCTCCTGGTCAATATGTGCAGGGCCTGAAGGAGCCCTGGCAGTGCTGGGCCTCCTGGCTCATTTGGCCTCCATTGGTGGGGGGAGAAGCTCTGGTGTCCCCCTTCAGTTTTATCAGTACCAAAGGTGACCTTCTAGACCTAATTCTGACTTTGGAAGCTCAGTCCCATGTATGTGGCCCTTCTCTCCACTTGCTCCAGGGTATTGAATCCTTAGAGTAAGACACAGGAGATAGGTCCAACCTGTTCAGTGTGGAGTAGAACTACTGGGAATTATCACGAGGTCTAAGCAATGTTTGAATCACATTGCTGGCTCATTTCCACCTTCTGGTAAACTCCAGGTCCCCCCTACTTTCTACACACGTAGTTGATTCTTTTTGCTTAAGTTCATCGGTACCCATTGCACTATTCCCTTTTGGGTGAGCAGCGTCATTACAGATCAGAAAAAGAGGGAGAAATAGTTAACAAATTTAAGACAGCCGATAAGAAAAGGAAATTTAACTAAACTGAATTTACACCAACAGTGTTCAGTCTGCTTTCTAATCCAATCTCACTCCCATCCCCAGTGCAGGAATCTACCATTACAGCACTCACATTAGCGTCACCAGCCAACATGCCTCTTATGCATACAAGGGAACAATGATAGCAAACAGAAAGGTAACAGGTGAATGCAAACACCACAGGGAGTTCATAAATTTCTTGGTGACTTACTGTAGAGCAAAAGTCGGGTCTGGCATGAAAGTGCCCTTTCCAAATTTTGCCCTTTGTTGCTTCTTGTACCCGTTCAGTCCAGATTTAGTGAAACACTTTCTCAGGCACCTCCCGGAGTTGTTGCATCTACTCATTACCTTTCCATTTGCCATTAGGGTTCTTCCCAGTCAGGCATGGATGCATCTTCACATACGCAAGAAATAAGTCATACAGTCATTCTGTAAGCAAACCACATCCATCTTTTAACATTTCTCCAGTTAAGCTTGGCAAGTCTAGATAGCGTGTTCTGCTGTTGTGCAAGATCTTAAATCTAGATCCAGAAGAGGCACTGGAAAGTTGGGGGAAGAGTGGCATACTCTTAGGTGGTAGCCCACTTGTCCCACCAGTATAGACGGTTGACTTCAGACCTAGGCCATCTTTTGTATTGACATTCTGTTAGATACCTCAGTTCTCCTTGTTGCTCATTGCTGAATCTGTTCTAGTGAGTTTGAATCCTTTAAAATTGAATGGACACACCACTCAAAATGGGAGTTATCAATACAGAATTAAGTGGAATGATTAAGTCCTATAATTTAGGAACTGTAGTTCTGTTGACGGAGCCTAAAATTGCATTTGCCTTTTTTGCATCCTGATCAGACTGCTGATTCACAGTTTGTAATCAGCTACTATTCTAGATCTTTTTCATAAGTACTACTGCTATTTTCCCATTCAGAAACTGCATTTGATTTTTAACACTTTGACAGTATTATTTCTAACCCAATCTCTAACATATCAAAATCCTTTTGCTAGATTTCTGCCTTTCGGGGAATTTCGTATCCCATCATTTTTGCACTGTCTACAGATTTGATAAGCATTCTCTCCATAATTCTCATCCAAGTTGTTAGTAAAGCATTGAGTTCACAGCCCAGAGCTGAACTACTCAATATTTTCATTTGTAAGTGGTTTCGAATAATAGTTATAACAACTGTGGGGAGAAAAATGAATACATAATAATACAGCCCACTTCTGATCATTATTTTGTAGGCTTTTCACTGCCTGAATGAAATTTTAGATCTCTGCCATAGTTTTTGTTCGTTGGTCAGCCAGAACCGAGGGCCCCTGGATGAGCGGGGTATGGCGCAGCTGAGCATCCTGGCTAAGGTACGTCCCACCCAAAAAGGCACAGAAACCAACCCTAGTGAGGTTGTGCCCTTGTGAGTGGAATACTCAAAAACAGTACAGGCTGTTTTTGAGTATTCCACGTTCAGAACAAAACCTTCAGGTGCTTTGAGTGAAGAATGCAGCAAGCTATTTTGTTTTTAAGTATGGACCAAAAGAGAACCGGTTCATTCAGCACCAGTTCAGATATTCTGTACCGTTTCAGATGATGAGATTGGAGTGCTACCTCTTGAGAATGGAGGGTGATCTTTTGAATTTTCCTGTCCAGCCTAGTGGAGTGACTGGGATGGGTTATTAGGTGTGTGCAGTGATCACAATTCAAGGGGAAAGGTGATTTGCTTGTGGGTGAGCATGCATGTTGCACCTCCTTGAACCAAGAGTGTCTTTTCCTGGAGCTGCACGAGCCTAGGAAAAGATGCGGTTTATTTAAGGAACAGCTGGTTGGATGAAACGCATGCCTGCGTGTGCCCCAAATCGGCTTTCTCACTTTGAAGCCCTACCAGTGACGTCCATGCCACTCTTGACTTAGGCCTGGATAATCTGGGTTTGGCGTTTTGGGGTGAATCAGCAAGCCTTGGGGAACCCTCTTCCAGATCTGACAGCAGAGAAGCCTGGACAAAAGAATAGCTGTGAAGGACTCCAGGAAGCCTAAGGGGTTGCTTGACTCTGAGGCTCTCCCCGTATCCCCTCACATTTTTATTTGAATGTTTGCATGTATAGTTTCAGTTTTCAAATAGCCTGAGATGGTTAGAAAGAAAGAAAAAGAGGCATTTTTCCACCCCCTCCCCTTACCTTTCAAAGCAGCTCCCTTTTGCTTTTAGAAGGTCACGCCACCCGCCAAATAAGGCCTCTTTTCAATTGAGGGCTCTGCCTGATTTGCTAGGAGAAGCATGTGCGCACTTATACTCTTTAGAGACTTTTCATTTTGAAAAGGGTGGTCTCGAAGGCTTTCCTTGCTCACCCCACCTCCCCATTTAAGACTAACTAGATGCCCCTACGTAAAAGACCCTCTTTTCAGGCAAGCCATCTCAGAGGGCAGTCAAGGGACAGGGAGGGGGCTGGTCAGAGAGGATGGCCCAATCAAGGTCTGCTGAACAAGGGAGTGGGAGGGAGAATCAGGCAGTCTTGGCTTTGGGACAGTCCCCATTGATGCCACCAGGTGACACCACAGTGGCTAAGGCTGAAAAAGCTCAGAGCTGTGGGAGGAACTCTTCCCCAACACACATGGAGCAGGTGCTGGTGCTGACTATTCAAGCCATCCCCCTTCCACTAGCAACCTAGGGCTGGGAGGAGCAGTTCCCCCTTTTGAATTTGAGTCCACGATCATCAGACCAAGCATGAGGACAGTCTGGTTGGGAAGCACTCACTGTTTGCAACTACAGGTAGTCCTTGACCTACAACCATCAGTCAAAGACTGTTCCAAGTTATGATGGGGCTGAACAAATGGTGGTTATGACCGGTCCTCAGATTTCCAGCTGTCCCAGCAACCTTGTGGTCACATGATCGCAATCTGGGTGCTTGGTGACCCGTTCAAACTTACGACCAGTTGCTAAGCACCCTGCAGTCACACAATCGCCATTTGCAACCTTCCCTGCTGGCTTCCCCAGAAAGTCAGTGGGGAAGCCGGCAGGGAAGGCTGCAAGTTGCTGGGGTAAGTCTCCTCCACCTGTGTCAGGCCCAGCCCAAGAACAACGACAAGACAGTTCAGTTGAGTACAGTTTCTTTATTTGCTTACATCTTATAGGCAGAATCTTGCCGAACTAAATCTATACTACAGCAACTAGTGGATATACCCTGTGAGATTCTAGGGAGTGGCTATCCTGAATCCCTTAGTCTTCTCACGCTCCCCCTGCAGACTGCTTTGCCTCTTGCCTCCTCTTCCCTCCTGGAATGCGACCCTCCTTCCCAGTAGCCTTGATCTCCCACATCACTCTCCTCCTCATAGATATATTCCATCACAACCTGCGCACCCTCCTCTAGCCCCTCTGTGCTTGCACCATCCTCCACCTGGCAGCAGTCAGTTACCTGCCTGCAGACCTGGAATTTGGAATTTCCTGCCGGCTTTCTCACTGATTTTGGGTGTGGGAAGCCAGCAGGAAGTTTTCTTGCTTAACAACTGAGGGATTCAGTTAATGACAGCAACCAGGACTGCAGGGAAATTCCGGCCCCAATTGCCATTGTAAGTCGAGGACTACCTGTACTGCAAAGCACAGGTCAGTAGAGGAAGAATGCAAAGTATCTTTTACCCGTGGGATTCTTAAGGATGCGCCTAGTTATTATGAGGTGCTCTTCACACTGCTAGCAGCAACAGACAACCTGCAAGGAGTTGTTCTTAGGCAGTTTGTTAGTTGCTCAATAGCTAGCAATGTAGGTGCAATTACAGAGTTATCCAAAGGCATGAAGTTAGACTCCTGCACGTGTCACAAAGGAAATGGCTTTGGGAGACCAGCTGCCTGAGCAAACCTCTACTGGGACTTCATGGTCACAAAATAGCAGGGCCGATGTGTGAAGGGCACCCCCTCAAGTGCACTTCATTGATATCAGTTACATCTGATTAAGCAAGATAGTCTTGGTTGGGAGGAGCTATCTCCCAGCTGGTACTAAGGTTGCTGCCAGCATTTTTAAGAAGATGTGCCAAAGTATCAGCAATTATTTGCATTGATTTACAGTGGGATCAAATGTTAGACCAGCACTCAGTCAAGCTTCATGCACCCAGATAGCTGGTTCCCTAAGGAATCTCTCCCATTTGGAGCTCCACCTCCTTACACTTCAGGTGGCTGCTTGAGCTGTGGTGGCTGTGCACTTGCCCAACTATCTTGATTCCCAGGAGTTGAGGTTCTGTATTCTAACTGTGTTGCTCCATGAAAGTGCAGAGATAGCCACAAGCCAGGTTCCATCTGTTTCTTAGGAGAGTCTGCCTATAGTGCAGAAGAAGCTGAGCTTGGCAGACAAACTTCATCCTGGAGTCATGCAGAAGCTGAAGCCATTTGTCCTCACCAGACTTTGTGAATTAAGGGTGGGGAACATTTTCCCCAGTGGAGAGGGTTCCTAGTTGTAATAGTCACTAGATAGCAACAAGTGATGGGAGCTGTGCGGTTCAGTGGCCATTTTATCTGCTGCACCTGCCACCACCACCACCACCGTCACCCTGACACGGGATCTTCCTTGGCAGGTTCAAGCATGCCAACTTTAACTTGACCACTCCAAGAAAAAGGAGAGGTGTGGTCAACTGGGCTGCTGCTTTGATGCATTTGAAAAAGACAAGACAGTGCCTATTCCAGTGGGCCCACCAAGGCCAAGTTCTAGCCAGATTGATGAGGGTTACTCAGCAGTAAGCCCCAATATCATAAGCAAAGAGGTAGGGGTCTCCAGGGAGTGGGGAGTAGCTTGTCTTCCATAAGGTAGACCTCTCTTTGCTGGACTTTCCTACCTGGCCACTGGAAGAGCACAGAGGGAAGAGCACAGAGAGAGGTCTGCTCACTGTTCAGACATGGCCAGCAGTGGAGGCAGCAAGTCCCCTGGGTCACCTGTGAACTCATTTGGCCAAGTCATACTGGGAGTTGTCCTGGGGATTTGTGCTGGAGAGATACATACTGGCTGAGACTCTATGGCTCACCTGGCTGATGTTCCTTTAGTCACTGAGTAGCACCTGAGCGATCATCAACTGGCTGGGACTTCATACGAGTGCATCATAGAACGTAGGCATTCGAAATGATCTTGGAGATCATCTAGTCCAGCCCCCTGCCCAGAGCAGGAATGCACAGCAGGCTTTCCAAGATGGCCTCCACAAACTCCTTCAAGACTTTCCAGCGTAATTAGTCTTATCCTGGAGATTTAAACTTTCAGTGGCCAGATGTTCCCTAACCCTCTCCTTTTGTCAGTGGTTCTGCTTAGGTCCCTTGGAACAGTCCTCTTTGGGGAGAACCCCAAAGCTACATAGATGCCTCTCCCTATGTAACGATACCTTTTTGCTGCTTTTAGTTTCCCTCATGAGCCCAACTTCCTTTTGCGCTTTAGCCTTTTTCTTTGCAGAAATTAGTGACTTGCTGGTAACCCCTTTTGAGAATTACCATCTTCTCTAACACTTAAATAGCTCCTCGATCATGAGTTGCAGGAGGTTCATTCATTGATGCCTCTGCCCCTTTTCCATGTTTCCTATCCACCCTTTCATGCCTGGCTGTTGAGGTGGTGAGAGCCAAAATCACTGCCCCAGAAGCAGCCACACCATCCAGACCAAAAAAAAAAGCATGATTTTCCACATTGGGGCATCACAATGCCATTCACCAACTGTCTGGAACTGCTATTTGAAGATTCAGCAGGGCGATACGATTGGACTTCCTAGGGGCACGTTTGTGCATGCAGCCTGAAAGAGACAAGAAGGCTGCTCTGACTCGTGGCTTTCCCCTCACAGGGCTTCAGCTGCCAGTCCTCCCTTCTGTTCAAGATTCTCTCCAGCGTCCACAATCACCAGATAAATTCTGACTTGGCACAACTGCTGTTACGCCTGGACTACAACAAATACTACACTCACGCTGGAGGCACTTTGGGCAGGTAAGGCTTAGCGCCCTGAAGCAGAGGACGTACCTCTAGCCACATTCCAGCAGAAGGTTTAGTGGAGTTGCAGCCTAAGCAAGAACGCATGGTTAGAGGCACAGTGGCCCAGCTGTTCCTAGGGTTGGATGCGCTCCAGCTGACATGCCATGGGCGGCATGTGTGCAACCCACCTTTTTCCTCTTACCTGCTTCCCTATCATAAACTGGGGTAATGTAAAGAGGAAGATGCCCTGTGCCTCCCTCCCATGTCTTGAGATGTCTTTTGTGATTAGTTAGATAATTCGCCATGTTTGTTGTAATCTGCCCATATATTATAAAGTACATCATGTGTGCATAACTTATTTCATCCTACTTAACGTCCTTCCTTTGAATCACTTTTCTTCTTTCTCTACAGTGTGGGATTAGAATGATTAGCCCACTAACAGAATCAATTGCCACAATTTCCAAGAAGTGTCCCCCTTCCGTAATGGCAGCAACATTCCAACCACTGGAGGAGAATGGAGGCGCAAGATTTGCTGTCAGAGCAACTTCAGTGTGTTTTCTTCCAGGCCAGTCATTGGCACCTGCAAATGGTATTTTGTATATTAAATAACCATTTATGTTATAAGTGTTTTCCTTGGGCTTCTTCTGAAAAGAGTGAGAAGTGCTGCTTGGTTTGGGCTTCCAAATGCAGTTACTCCCTTTTGCTGTGACAGCAGAGCCAAAAGTCCAGCCCCCTGACGTTGTCACCTTCAGCATTTTTAAGCCAAAATCAGTTGATGACTATAAAGAGTGCAGTGTTGTCATTAAATGCAGAAAAGTACCTTTTGTTCTATTTCTGAAGATGGAAGTAGTAAGTGAAAAGTAACCTGGCCTTGGAGATGAAGTTTTTGTTTGCTTTTCTTGCTCAGTGGGGTAACTATCATGGTGCAGGGACTTGTGCTGAAGATACAGAGTTTGAAGAATAAGGGCATGATGTTATCAAGATCTGCTGCCTCCTTTGCTGAAAACAGCTCCCGAAATAGTAAGAGGCAGTCACTTGCTGTTTTATTTCCTAACAAAACTGCCGGAGCCCTTAATGAAAACAGAGGTAATAGATAACATTGGTTTTTTTTTTTAACGCAATCAATTTTTTCAAGAAGTAGCTGGTCCAGGAATAGGGAGCATTAGAACAAATATTGAGGGAGTGGAGTGCTTCATGTGTGTTTGAGACAAATGCAGGGATTCAGGAAAACGCCCCAGGCAGTAGGAAACTTCTCTCTAAATACCAGCTCCCAGCCTGATTTTATAACCTACGTTAATCCTGTAGCTTTGGATCTGAAAGATCTTAGAAAAAACATGCCTTTAATTGTTCTCTCTCCACAAATCAGTCAGAAAGGAAATCAGACTTTTGGAAGCTATCCCATCTTACCATGCTCCCTTTTTGTTTATACTGCTGTTATACTGTTAAATCAGCTTTTCTAAGTACCTTTTTTTAGATTGGTTTAATTTAAGGGATCTTCTTGCACTTGTGGGGTTCAGCAAGCCTGTCTGAAAGTTTCATTGCAAGAAACTTCCTGCTGCAAAAAGGCAGGAAAGGGTTGCAAGTTTGGAATTGCCCAGCCCTATATTGTGTAGCAAAAGAGCACCCATACTAAATTTCCTTCCTACATTCACATGACATAGTTTCCTGCTATGTGATAGCAAATTCTATAGTCTGTGGGACTGGATGGGAGTAGTTGATTGTTAATACTCAAGTCACGATATTATAATGGGCCCAGATAAGAAATCAATGTTTATTTTATCATAAAAGTTCACATTAAAATTATATACAAGCACTACATGCATAGGTCAAACACAGAAAATTTAAAACCTAGATGAGGATGAAAATCGCCACAAAGCAAAAAGGGAGTTTTAACATGGGACATAATCATACTGATACTTTGGATACTTAAATCCAACTGTCTCCCCAGCAATGAGACTCTGGATCACCCACTCCTGCGTTACCACTGGCAGATGTAATGCTTCAGCATATTGCACGACGGCAGCTGGGCAGGAAGTGTCAGTCACCACCACATCAAACACACCCAAACTCACATCTGTAAGAACAGGAAACAATTGCTTTCTGAGGCTGCTTCCACCACAAGTTCCCAGCACTGCATATCCCACTTCTAACACTGTTCAATGAGAGACTCATCCAGCTCTCAAAAGATTCTAGGAATCCTTCTTTAAGAATAAAAAAGATGCCAGTTAAATTTTTCACATCAAGCCCTCCTTTATGCAATGAGCCAAAATGTACACAAAGTAGTACACACAAGCCAGTGGGGGAAGTTGTGTCAATCCCCTCCCCAAAATAAAAAATATATGAACAGTAATTTTCCCTCTTGTCCCTTGCCAGATGGCTGACTTCCAGCTGCCTGTACCTTTCTTCCATGTTGAGGATTCCTGCTGCTTAACAGAAGCAGCTCCTCCCATCGTAAGAATCTCAGACCAGAGTTCCAAGAAGTTTCGTGTTTCATCAGATACCAGGAGCACTCTCAGCTTCTGGAAGGGATTTTTTCGTGGATGCCTAGAAAGAAAGAAAGAGAAAGAAGGGCTATGAGGCCATCAAAGAGTATCACTGAACAGCAGAGATCCACCTGCCATGCTATGCCAGTAACATCTTCCTCTCCCTCCTCCCACCTATTGGTGTTGAAGTGGGCTGGTTCTTCCAAGACCTGCGCTTGACAAGACCTCCATGCTCAAACTCATGCACTTACCACTGCAGTAGCCTCTGTTCCTCCAGGCTGTAGCCAGCTGGCAACAAGTAGTTCTTGTAGTTCTGAGTCTGATTGGCGTGGCAGCTGTCATGGACCCACATGTGAGACACACACGGTATTCCCCGGGCAAGGCACAGGAAATACTTCCGGGTGCGGCAGTGCTGGTCTGCTATCAGGAGACACTGATAGGCTGCGCTGCACTGAATTAAGAAAGGAGGGCACATTGGTACCAGTCCTTCAAAGACAGATAAAGCCACAGACAGGGACCACCTCAGAGACTTGCAGGTGAAAAAGAATATTTCAGACTCATGTGGGAAGGTTCATTTGCCTATTAGACCTCAGGGCTTATCCAGGCAATGCCATACAGGTGCCTATGACATGGCAAGCAGAAACAGGGCAGTGGGAGGTGAAGAATGGATCTGTGCCTGCCTTAATTGCAAACAACTCTGCTGGGAAGCAGATGTTCTTGGTTCCATCAGCAAAGCAATGCCAGCTTGCCAGACCACTGAGTCGTGCCTTCTTTGTGCTGGCTACCCTGCATTCTCCCCCACTCACCATGCAAAGTCCATGTAGACCCAACTTGGTCCCTCAGGAAAGCCACAAAAACCTTACTTTTTCAACAGGCCCTTGAACAGAATGTCTTATGACCCACTAGTATACAGGTGGTCCTCACTTAACAGCCACTTGCTCAGCAACTATTCGAACTTACAACAGCACTGAATGAGTGGTACTTACGACCAGTCCTCAAAGTTCTGGCTGTCATAGCATCCCTGCTGTCATGTGATCGCCATCTGTGACATTCGCTGCTGGCATCCAACAAGCAAAGGAGAAGCTGGCAGGTCATCACAAATGGCGACTATGTGATGTCACACTTAATGGCAAAGGATTTGCTTAAAACTTAAAATTGGAAATGCTGGAACTGCCATTGCTAAGCAGCAGTCACACAATGTCGCGCTTTATGACCACATTGCTTAGCAACAGAAATTCTGGTCCAAATTACTGTCGTTAACCAAGGACTGCCTGTATGTTGTTCGTCCTATTTCCTGGCATGGCTGCTTTGTACTTCCTCATTGCTGGCTAGGTTTAGCCTGCTTTTAGTCTCTGTGCCACCTAAAGTTTGCTCCAGAAACTGAAGTGGCCAGTAAAGTGACTGACGAAGTGTATCAGGGTATGATCCCTTCTCCAGAACTTCAGGGGGTGAGGCCAGTCTTTCTTTTACCGCAAATACAATAATTTGTGGGAGCTGGCGATGCACAGCATTGTCCTCTATCACTGCTGCTCTGCCCAGCAGCACTTCTTTTTCTTCCCTAAATCGCTACAGGTACATACATGCTGATCTGACAATTCATTGTTTCGGAAACCATGAACATCCTGCATTCCACCAGTGCTTGGGAAGGGAGGTGAACGTACTCCATCATGACCTCGCAGGTAGACTCAGGATAAGAGCTTTCAAGCTTGTCAAAAGACATCAGGGACATCCTTAATGTGGCCATGTTTAATAGCTGTTGGAGTCCATTATACTCGCTTCGTATTAACAGAGATACTTATAACTTGAATTATGCTGTGTTGCATTAGCACTGTGCCCTTCATTCTGTTGAAGTAGACTTTATTTGTTAAACAATGGTATGACAATGGATTAAACTACTACAAAATTATTACTGATGTTCATTCCATTTGCATCTTTTAATCCCATTCAAAACATAATAGAGCTTGTCATGAATGCACAAAAGAATGCATTAAATATTGAAAATCTTTATTCTGCAAATAGTAATACAGAATTGATATGTAATATTTTAAAAGATAACATTAAGGGAATTAGGGTCCACTGCTAATGTATATGCATCATATTACCTTTGTAAATAATTTTAAGGGCACTTAGGATCTCTAAAAATGGAGGGAAGAAGGCATATACTTTGCTCCCACCAGCATCAGCTACCCTTCGGGAAAGATGGCAGACTCATTCTATTGTATTTTTACTTTTAATTGTTAAGCTTTGTAAATCACTTTAGTAAGCTATATACCTGGAAGGTGGGGTATAAGTCAGCATAAAGAGGAGAGGCAGCCGTGTAGAGCTGAGTGATCACACCAACTCAGCCAAGCAGCGCCTGTGCTTCCCTTTCCTCACTGAATAACCAGTTTCTATCCTTGGATTATCTTCTTTCAGCTTATTTGCCCCAATGGATATTTTGCCAGGACTGCAAAGTCAGGAGTCAAGTCAAGATCATAAATGGGAACCTGCCTATTTCCTGCCAAGATTATTTCCCCAGCAGGAATCCTGGTGCTTACGGTATAATATTCTGCTGCCCTGCCTTTCAGTTTTATAAATACACAAGATGGTTAGTAAAAATAAACTGTGCGTAAGAACTCCATAAAAGAGGTTTCAATATCAGAAAATCAAAGCAGCAGCACTAGCACAGGGGTCAGAAAGAAGCAGGGAGAAATCAACCACTGTCATCTAATTCTAGGAATCCTGTGCATCTTCAAGATCTCTCAGTGCAACGAACACCTGACTTTCCCTCCCCAAAGGTGGGAAAGGATGAGCTGCTGCAAATGGGAATGGCTGAAATTTTGGACAAGCACAAAATACAGCTGAACCCAAAGCCTGAGAGTAGGACTCCAGCATGAGTGAGAGAGGAATTTCTCCGAAGCTCTCTGAGGGGCACCCTGGAGCACCTCAGGGATAAAACAAGCTGCTTTTGGTATCCAGGATCGAGAAGAGCAACCTCTCTTTGAAGGAACTGGGCCCTTCCAAAGGGCCCTTCAGGTACATTGCTGATTCCTGCTGAAGATGACGGGGGCAGTGCCTGGAAAACAACATGAGCTACCCAAGATTATAAAGACCTGGGAAACCCCCCTTCATTTTCCCACAAAGAAACCCAGGCAAAAGTAGAAACTCCCAGCCCCCAAACCACAATGTCAAAAAAGTGAAGTGCAATCTCCAGTTACCAAAGTACTATGGACTCCTTGAAGCCAAAAATCACCAAGTCACAGGAGGATACAGAATCCACTATGAAAAGCTGGTGACTGCCAGATGGAGATTTCGTTTCTTGAAGCCAAAAGACCTGGCTCGCTTCTCCAGCTCTCACACGTGTAAACTAAAAATAATGTAAAAAAATCTCTCCCTTCCCCCAAGTGCTTCAAAATCTCACCATGGCCACTTTGTCTTGTCGATGTACACCTGTATAAGAAGATCCTTTACAGAGTTCAGGTGGGTTCTGGCACATACCTCCCTACCCTGCAGGCATGCCTTCCCCTCCCCCCAATTCTGACCTGGCTTTCATTGAAGTCCTCTAGGATGAAACCTCCTCCTGCTTGGAGTTGTAGTTCAGTGTAGGGTTTGTTGTAAGGTATTGTCTCCAAGAATTCTGGAACATGGAAGTATATTGGGTAGTTCTTACTTTTCAAGGACACATAAAGCTTTGTAGAGCAAGCCCACTCCCCCAGTCAAAACATCATGTAACAATCGATACGCTATCTTCAAACCAGTCCAGAGGGTGAATGCAATTAGTTCCACACATTGGCATCAAATGCCTCTGACAAAGCCCCAGAGCAGGTCATAAAGTTTATGAGAACAATAATCTTCCCTTAGACACACACACCTCCCTGCCCACAAAACTCGACCTCAGTGGTTGCTATGAAGGAAAGCAGCAAAACATGGAGAAGCAACAAGAAGGGCTTTTAATGCTGTGTGGAGATCTGACTTGAGCGCCTTAAAAGTTTCCTTCCGATATAAGAGATTTCATTTTGCTATCCTGTTCTCAGAATGCTTTTTTTCAAATGTCTCCTGGTGTTTCTGAGTTTGGCAACGATGGAGAGGATTACTGTTCTGTTAATATTTTTCTGTCACTCTGAAGCCCCCTGACTCCCTACACTTCTGGAGACTATCTAGAAATGCTGAAGCACCTTCCCTCCTGAATTTTTCTTCTTGTTCTAGACCAGTCCTCCTCTCGGACTGTCCTGTGGCAGGAGTCTTCCCTTCCTGCCCTTTAGAAGTGCTTGGGATGCTCATTCTACAACGGGAAAAACATCCTTCACACACCTCCCTTGGCTACCTCATCATAAGTTTAGGAGCACCTTGCTCCACTGAGAAAAATTTCACTGAAATTTCCTTATCTTGCATCGACCTGGAAGAAAGCTAACAAAAAAGGCAGAGTATGTTTCTATCTGGCACACAGTTTCCCTGTCTGTCCAAATCAGTATTGACTGGTGACATACCAGCCAACCTCCTGATATCAGCACTTCAGGGTAGTCTAGGCCAGGAAACCAAATACTACCAAGACCAATACTATTATTGTAAAGTTATATTAACAGAATCTTGCAAGTCTCTATGCACTTTCCCTCCCCCTTTATCTTTGTGAGAACAAGGGAGGGTCTTGTCCGAGACATTTTTTTCAAGTTACAGTTCTGCCCCGACTCAGGTTCCTATTATCTGACGTTGTTTTGGCAGCAGCTCTTCCTCCTGTCCCTCAAGGCAATTCCCTCTGTCCACTACAGTTGGTGTTCTTGAAGATGACAAGAACTGCCCATGCTGCAAGGGGATTTTCCTTGGAAGAGGTGAAGGGCTGGAGGTGAACCTGTCCAGTTTACCAGGGAAAATGAGGAATTTTTGGATCCAACACAGGAAGCCCTTGCAAAGGGACAGCAATACTGAGGCCTTCCAGAAGACAGATGAAAGTGAGGCAAGGGGACAGGAAGATGGAGGAAGGTGACACAAATGACCAAGCCTAATAAGAAAAGCTCTTTTTCTCTGGTGCTTCAGAACAGATTCTAGAGCCTTCCTACTGATGTTTTCTGGAGCCCTGGACAAAAAGCAGCTAAAGAATGAGACATTTAAATGCACTGTAATGCAAAGATTGAAGACTACAGTCAAAAGGAACAGAACCAACAAAAGGGGGCAGGGAATAGAATAAATGGAGAAAGAACATCTTATAATTTAAGCACATAGGCCAGGTCAAGAGCATTTAGGCAGGAATAGAGGGAAGGGGAAACAAAAATGATATTATTATGGATCCATGCTATAGACTGCTCAACCAGGCCGAAGATCTGGGTACAGTAATGCCCTCCTAGGCCAGAATATAGAATTTCAGACAAGAAAGACATAGCAATTATAGACATCCCAGGCAAGAATGCAATACCCCCAAAATTCCTCATTGGTCTTTTCCAGAAGACTGAAGATGAGACAAGGGGACTGACTTTCCTAGATATGATTCTAGCCAAAACGGAAGTTGTTAAAGAGATGCTTTGGAAAATTTAGGAAGAGGTGACACTAGATTTCAGGAGAGAGAACTTCAGCAAGCTTAGAGAAGTTGTAGCCAGGATCCCATGGGCAGTCCTCAAAAGGAGCACAGGAAAGTTGAGAACTTCTTATGGATAAGGTATTGGAAGTAAATCACACCCCATTGATGATGCCTCAGTACGAGGCTGGGAGGCAGCTGCCTCACAGCCTGCCCCATCCATGCACAATACCACTTTCTTTGGAGGCGCCATAGTGCCTGGCCACAATCAGCAAGTTGCTGCCTTACTCTCCCACTGCACATGTGGCAAAGAGAGGAGAGAGCTGCTCTCATTTCTGGACTGGGTCCCGTTCCCCACTAAAAGTAGGTCAGGTCCATTCTGCTATTTGCAGGTATGGCTTGGATTCTGCTCCTTGTATGTGCCTCACTACCGAAACTTTTTCAGTTTTCAGAAGAAGGCATTGCTGGCATCCTCTGTTTGAGTTTCAGACTGTCCCCCACCCCAGTGGAGGAGGAGCGTAAACTTAATGCTGGAGATAAACAAACATAATCCAAGCAACGTTTTAAAAGAGCTGATGACTATCAGGCATATTTGGAAAATGTCACCATATTTATATGAAATCAGATCTCCAATTTCTTTCAATACTTGCCAAATGACAAAAACTTAGAATCCCAGAGTTAAGTATGGCCTTGAAACTACCGAGTCCAATCCCTGGTTGTGCAGTATCCCAACTGAAGCCTTCCTGACAGATGGTTGTCCAGACTCCCCTTGTGAACACGCCTAAGTGAAGGGAGGCCCACTCAAAAAATGGATACATAAAAGCTGAACTGCCAGCAAAAACCGCCCCAGGTTATGTCTGAAAAACTAAGCATCCTATCAAGACAGGTGTCTGGCTTAATGACACTCCAGAACCCAACCTGTCAACAACTGACTTCACCCACAATTGCTGTTATGCCTAACACTGGAGGGGAACATGGTTTCCCAGCATCTTAACCACTAGATCAAACTAGCTTTCTCTTTACACCAAGGGTAAGAAATCATAACACAATATTTGGTTTTGGCTTAGTGTGATCTGTGAATGCAACCCTCAGCACATCCTTAATCCTGTCCATGTGGTATTTATTAAATACCTGATATATTAACAACCACCCTTCCCTCATGTAAGATGAGTTTAACTTGCAGCTTTAATGCAGCCAATCACCATCAGTTCAGCCCACACCTAACCATCAAAGACTTCACCTCAATATCTATGATTAACTAGAGAATTTTGAGTGCTCAAAAAGGACTAATGCACATTGATATGAGCAAACCAGATGGTCTCACCTTCTTCTTCGCTGCTCACTGCAGTTTTTTGATGACTAGAAAGCTTATCTGTTGAGTTTGCCATTGAGAGAAGAAAGGCATAACCCAAAAAAAGAGTTTTGTTCTGAGGCAAAGGACCCCATTGGTTATCAGGTGCCAAGTGATCTCCTGAGTACCTTCCACTAACTGATGGGCTTGCCATCTCCCTGGCATTTGCAGCTCCTGCAGATGGAGAGAGAAATATCAGGTCCTGTGCCTGGAGTTGCCTTGCCAGGTCTTCTCAGAAATAACCAGAGGAGGAAAGACACAAGAGCCTGCCATGCCAGACATCAACAGGGATATCATTTTGTCCCATGTGGTCTTTTGAGCATGGAAGGAAGTAACTGGAAGAGTAGAGCCCACAACAGAAATGCAGCAAGCACAGGCTCAGGAGAAGCCACGCAGGACAAGCGTCATCCAAGCAAGCCCTCACCTAGTTTAGCAAGAGCTAGTCGCCGCCCTCGCTTGGCTGGAGACTGCTCCTCTTCTGAGGCAGTAGCTAGTTTCCTTTTACCGGAAAGAGTCTCTGGGCTCTTGCGGATGGGAGTCGTGCTGCCACTGGAGGTACCAGGTGAGCCAACGTTGCGCCTCTTCCGCTTTCCCTCCACCAGATTATCTGGCCCCACCAGATAAAGCAGAGTCAGCTTCCCCCTTCCATAGGCCATCCTGTGCTCCCCAGCATAGGGCAGCCCCAGCCTTCCCCCGGCGCACAATCCCATGCTTTCTAGCCCTGCACAAATACATGGCTCACAGAGGTGAGGACTTCTCCCACAGGAGACTCCGTAACGTGGCTCCCAACCCAGCCACTGTCGCTCTGCCCATCATGCATAGCATGATCATCCAGGGGTGTAGAACATGGTCCCCATCTAGGACTCCTATCTCCAGGCCCATACCTAGGCTGATATCAGCCGCCCTTGTCAGAGGTGTGGTAGGCTGGTAAGGACCGAGCCCAAACTGCTCCCGGAGTCTGTTCCCTTGCTCCAAAGACAGGATGACCGCTGTCCGCTGGTACCACTTCTGCTGTCCATCCTTCTCAATGCAATAGAACAACTCTCCAGACTCCTTCCGATGGCCCTTCACCACACCTGCAGCAAAGGAAAAACTACAGGCTGGGCCCCCAATCTTGCTCCCTGCCCTCATCCCACCACCTGAGACTGTGGGTGTCTTCTGAGCCAGCAGACGGTTACCTGCACTGAAGTATTCATCCTCCGAGAGAGCTGTCACTTCTGTTTCCAGAGGGAGGGGATCACACAGAAGGACATCTCGGGCCAAAACATCACATTCATAGCCATCATCAAAGAGCAACCTGTACTTGGCCCCCCCACCATCCTGTGTGATGGTTCCAGAGTAGAAGTAGCCATTGGATGACCACTTGGCCACCACCCGGAGGCCCACAAGGCAATTCCCAGATGAAGAGAGCCCTGGATTATCAGAGAGACTTGGCTGATCTTGCAAAGGGATTTCAGGGGAGCCACTGCGGCGCAGAGAAGCATCAGCCTGCTCCTGTCCCTCCAGACATTGGCCTGTACTGTGCTTTCCATCTGAAGAGGCTGTTGTTGAAAGATCTGCCACTGCTTGCACTGTGCCCCTGCAGAAACATGGAGAAGGATTACTGAAGGTTTCCAAAGCCTTGCCGAGAAACATTCTCTTCAATCACCACGTTGCCACCGCTCTGCTACCTCATTCCAGTTGATCGGGAAGTGGGACGGCCCCTTCGCCCTCGCCCACGGGGAGTGAGAGGTACGCTTCTCAACTGCTGGCTGCTGGGGCCATGGTCTTCGACCTCCTCACATACTGCAACTGTGCCATGGTCATGATGGGCTGGGTAGAAGTCACTCCCCTTCTTAGGGCTGGGAAAACAAGAGGCAGCTTAGCTTCTGCCCCACCTGTAAGCTGCTCAGGTTCAGTACACATTGACCACACACATAAAACCTTCTTTCCCTTTTAAAAAACCTTAGCGCTTCTTTTAAAATAAAAAGATGCTAGTATAGTCCAAAGAAACCTACTGCAAGGCAAGGTGGTAGAATACCGTTTGATATTCTTTTTCCTCATACCTGGGTTTGGAGGAAACTTTCAATAAAATGTTGGCCTTCAAAAACTTTTGCCAAACACCTGGATTCTTCATCTCAATTTATCTAGGCTTGTCCTCAATACATTAATCACATTCTGTCCTTGAGGTTTTAGAGCTCTGTTTTTGAACCATGACAAAAAGCACATTAAATTCTCTTTCAAGACACAAATTAACCTTCTCATACCCAAGAATTGCACAACAGACTTTTATGTAAATTGCCAGTTGTAATCTCTAATGCCCGCAATTCAAAGGCCCTGCACACACCTCGGCTTTCTGGCCACAGGCAAGTCCAAGTCTTGAGACCCCCTTCTTTGGCATGCTCCCTCTTTAAGAGGCCCAGCCCCTTGGCCAGAGATTGGACCACTACGAGTGGCTGACAAAGCACTGCTTCCTCCACTGGAAGTGCGCTGAAGTCCAGGTGCCTTGGGTGAAAAGGAGCTGATATCTCCAAGGTCTCCAGAGGTTAGAGAAAAGGCCCCAGTGCGGGAAGGAGAGACGTCCACCTCACACTCATAGCAATCCACGTGGGGCTCCTCTCTCTCCTGAAACAGACGAGAGGTTCCAAACAGTGGAGGCCACTGCAATCCTCTCCCATTGCCCCCTCCTCTCAGACACCCGTGCATTATACATGAACCAATCCTATGAACATCCACCTATATCAGAATTCCAGTGCTCTAAGAAATGTTTTTATAGCATTTTGAATGTGCAACTCTGTACATGTTCTGCTGTCATCCCATGATATCTCTGAAATATTATCACCATCCAGCAAAAGTAGCCTTCAGTTTCATTCTCATCCCACTGCTAAAAAGAAAGGTGTGCAAAATAGATTTTATTTCCTGGTGAACGAAGACATTTTGCATCCCCTTCTTAAAATGGTAGATCTGAGCTGTGGTTGGAGTGGTTTCCTCTTAAGTTCCTTTTTTTCTTTAACCCTCCCTTTTTTTTCTTTTAATACTAATGTCTCTCCCTTTGATGGGCTAGGCCCTCAGGTCACACCTGCCTCAGTCTTTCCAACTGACTGGCTTAGAGCATTACATAGGCCCTGCAGACCTTGTTCTATCATTGTGGCCTAGCATTTTGAGAACTCCATCAAAGACATGGGCTTGGCTGTGAGGATCCTGCAGTTTCCTTGCACCCAAATATACTGTAGAATATTGTTGCTAAATATTTTTTTCACGTGCTTGGAGGAGTGGAATACACCCAACCTGCCAAGAGAACAGAATTAATGACGCCCAGGCAGCAAAATGGCATCACACTTTTTCAGTCCTTCACCCAAGAGGTATCTTCTGTCTTCACTTTGCCTCTCAGGCAACAGAAGGGGAAGCTGCCCAGGCCTTCCAGCCAGCCTTCTTCTGCATCTGACCACTTTCCTTCAGCCTTCACTACTGTCATCATCAGAGGCTCCCCAGAATCTTGATCATTCTGGATGCTGTTGAGTGCGCTTGATTTGGCTTGCAAGCAAAGATGGTTGTCCCTTCCTTTCTCCTTCCCCATTTGTGGCTATTCTGAAAAGAGCAGAATGGGGAATATCTTTTGACAGCTTCATGCCATCCTTTAGTTCTGGATATGGATACTACTGCCTTTGACTCAGGGCTACTCTAAAAGACTGACATCTGAGGACATCACCTTTGAAGAGATTGTCCCAAAAAGTTCTCAGCAGCAACAAAGTGTCCATAGTGTTACTGCTGTGCGGAACAAGATCTAACATTTGGGAACGTCCTGGCTTACTGGAAATGTCCTACCTCAACCACCTGTCGTTCCACTTCAGTGCCATCTTTGTAGTAAACATCTGTGATGACCCGTGTTACATGAGTGCGCACTTCACGAATTGTTCTCACATGGCGCTGTAGGACTCTACCTGCTGGTGGGTGGGGCAGTTCAAATTCTTCTTCCTTCTGAAGAAAAAAAGAAAATCCAAAATATTTCCAGACATCCCTTCATCAAAACCAAATAACCTCATGTTTGGATTGAAAAGCTTACTAATTGGAGATCGCTGTATGTTAGGTGGTCCTACTTGCTTCCAGTTCTAATCTACTCCTAAAAGCTCACCATATTTAGCTGAATACAGTCTGAACAACGGTAGGTACTAGCATGTATCAAGTTTGGCTGATTTTAAAAGAAAGCTAAGCAGGATCATACCTGGTTAGTACTTAGATGGGAGCCTATCAGAAATAGGCTATGGACTATAGCCTGGGAAGTCAAACAAACAAAAAAAACCCAGAAGGTAGCAGCATAAAACGATTTCCATGCTACCTTTCAAGAGAAAGACATGGATATTGTAATTAACCTGAAGAGCTATTTTTAGAAAAGACGGCATGGTTCTTCTCTAAACAACATTGCCACTGGGAATAACTAAATCCATTCAACACTGTTCACGAGCCAGGATGCTGGCTTATTCTCCTAACAAGCCACCATCATAAGCCATGCTTTGTTCTTGATCTATGGCACCAGCTTATTGGGGAAAAAACCCAAAACACAGATAGAGCCTTTTGGACATAAGCGATGTCAAAAAGCCTTTACACCTAAAACTCCAGAATGTAAGTTTATCTGGCAAAGTACTATCGGCAAGTTTATTTCTGTGTGATTCCCATTCAAATATTTATTTTTCTCCTTTTGTTTTTGTAGTATAGATGCTTAAAGAAATTATCACTTTCATTCAAATACGTTTAAACCACAACCTACCTCATTGTCGCCCTAAGTAGAATACAAGCAATCCCAAAGGCAGAAAACACAACAATAAAAACCTGTTGAAAAACATGTTATGTATTTACCATAGCCATAACAACGTATTAGCCAAAGGCCAGTCCAATGAAAACTATTTGTCTGCTGAAGGAAGGTCATCAGAAAATGGGCTAAAATGACCCCTTGAGTTCCCACCAAGAAACTTTGGATGTTGAAAGGACAAAGGGAAGGCTCTTCCCAAAGACCTTACAGCCACTTTCATTTCAGAGTGCATTTGTTTCCAGATAAAATGACCTACACTTTAGAGGCTATAAGAAATCAATAAGTAACTAATAACACTGTTGCACATTTGCATAAATGACACTACCAACTGCATAATTCAAACACAAGGAGCTCCTCCACAAAACATCTCCATCTGGCCAACCAGCAACTTCTCTATTGCCTCCCTTATTTCTCTGCTGACCAACTGAGTTGCACTGGACTAAAACCACCAGTTCTCATAAGGAATGCCCCTGCAAAGCAGCGGGTACGTGGGTGGGGAGCAGGAAGAGAAAAGAGGAGAGTCAGTGATGCCATACCCCAAGGCCGGAGCAGGCAGTTCAGTTGGGGACTGCACTCAATCCCACCCAAAATGGCCACTTTTGTCATGAACTTAGGGGCAATCGGGGGGGGCTCCAGGGCCATAATCAACTGAGGGTTGGCCACCTCATCCTTAATCCCTACCACCAATTATAGAAACCACGATAACAGAACTGAGTTGTACCACATAAAAGGTTCACATAGAGGACACAGCAGCCCCACTGACAGGGGAGGGTCCAAAAGCACCAAATTATAGACTCATAATTGAATACAAAATAAGTGTGTTGAGCCCCCAAGTTCAACCGAGCTCAGTGCAGGAGTCCTCATTCAAGCCGCAGACAGATGGCCACCTGTGCTCCTCTTGAACGCACCCAGCAAAAGGAAGCCCAGCATCACTCTGGGTCATGGGATTAAAGAACTGTACAGATTGAAGGGAGCACAAGAATCATCTAGTCTCACCTTTTGTGATGCAGGAAAACCAATTAGCCCATCTATGAGAGGTGGCTATCCAGCACCTCTCCTGGTCTACTGTCTTAGATTTAAAAGACCACCCAACTCTGGCACATGACTCTGGGCAGCTTTTCAGATTTCTTGTCCTGCTGGGTGGCCTGGAGGAACTCTTTTAGTGTTTCCACTCCTACCTGAGCAGGTGGTTTTTTCCTGTAATCATGGCTGGGTAGTGCCTGAGGCCATGTTGGTTCAGGGCTTGGTGAACTCCCCATGTTACTGAGCACATGTATGACCAGCAGATGGTCCAGAGTGCTGCAGCAGGTCAGTCCCACTTCTTCCTTAGAACTAGCGTTCACCCTACTGCTGAACAGTTCTGCCACCAAACTCTCTGCAGGAGGCCCAGACAGATGATGGAGAAACACTTTAGCAGGACTGGGTGGGATGGGCAGGCCTTTGCCCAGTGCCACCTGCTGCACCAGTTGCAACCCCACCTGGACTTGTGCCCCTACCCCCTTACACAGGACAGCCTTTGGAGATGACCTGGAAGCTGCTGCCGGTCCAGAAAGTGCTGGCGAGGCTACTGTGGTAGGACAATCTCTCTCCTAAAATACTTATCGCCAGTAGGCTTCCTGCCCAGTCAGAGGTTAGGGAGATGTGAGGCCTTTTCTGTTGTGCCCTCACATTCTGGACCGTTCTTTCTGCACAGCCCCCTCCCTCGTGGCATTCCAAAAACCACCAAAACAGCCCTATTTCACCAAGCTTTTACTTGACTGCTAAAGGGGGAGGTATTTGGAGCTCATGCAATGTTTTGCATCATTTTCTAAAAATAGAAACTTGTCCAGGGACATCTGATTGAGGTGGGTCATAAAAACTGCAAATAAACAAACAAACAAACCTGAATTGTCATCTCCTGAAATATTCAACACTGGGATTGCCTGATGGAAGTTACTGTCCATAATCTGAGGCTATGTAAAAAGAAACTATTACTCCTTTATAAAATTCACTTGTGTCAGATAGCTGCATCGAAGCCCTTTGAATATTTGGCTTTCCCAAATGGTCCATTTTCCCCTCACCTGATTGTGCTGGGCCTCTGGAGCACTACCAGGCTGCCACACAAAGTCCTTCTCTGTTTGTATGCTAGCGCTGCATTGCCGAGGCGCTGAGCAAGCCATGCTGGTGCCTATTTCCACCTGAATGGCAGAGGCCGTCTGTGTGGCTGCTGACACAGAGCCTGCCGGACCTTCGAGAAGTTCTTCTGATGTCTGGGCATGCTGGCTGTTTCTGGATCTAGACTTTGGAGCATCAGTCTTCCCTTCTGATGCCACCACTGGGTCTGACTTCTTTGGGGCTCTCTGATTCTCCCCCTGCTGAAATTGGGCAACATCCATATCCATGGCCTCTCCCACCTCTGATTGCTGTTTAGGCAGGACTTGTCTGCAACCCAAGGACACACTTTTCTGCTGATCCTGCCAGGTTCGACATGGCTCATCTTCTTCTTGGGAACTTGGAAAATTGAACAAGTCATCCCTGAAATCAAAAATAACAACATAAGACCAGCTCTGTTGGATCAGAACAAATATCCTATCTAATCTGATCACCCATTTCAAACAGTAACAGCTGGTGGGCAATTATATGTTCCTTGCGTCTGACGCTGCCTCTGTGCAATGAAGTTCCCCTCATATCATGATGGTTGGACAATATGAGCAGGCTCCTTCCACACCTTTCTTGTGAATCCATCACACAGAGGCAATCATCTCAGGAGGCATCAGACAACAGTAGCAATGGACCATTCTTGGCTCTTCCCTTCAACCAGGTTCCCAACATCACTCACATAAGTGCCACTGCCTATCTGCCATGGCTACCCTCTCCCTATGGCAACTCTTAGACTTTTTAATTCCAACAGGAGCAGTGTAAGAAATGAAGCTGGGAATTACTCTCAAGCCGTGCGGAACCGTTCTGTAAACATGGAGTCAAGGACTCCAACTCTCAAGCAAAAAAAGAAAAAGCAGCAAAAAGTATCTTCGCAAAAGGGAATGAGGGCTTGATTCCTCAGTTCTGCACACACGTCTTTTTTTCTTTTCTACATTAAAGCAGCTTATCTAGGTATGATAACTCTCTGCGGCTTCTAGGCTGAGTTTCTGGGAAACTTATCATACTTGCATTCCACGTACGAATCATGGTATTATTTGGCCAGCAAAGTGCCAGTTCTGGAGAAAACCAACAGCTACTTGTCATCGGCCCCATGCTGCAAAGGATCAACACTCTCTATTGCCTCCCCCTCCACATCTACTGGGATCTCAATACAACCCTTTCATATTCCTTTTTTTAATAATAATTTTATTAAACATTATAGTTAGATAAAAACTACATAAACTACAAAAAAGAAAAGAGTAAAAAGAAAAAGTAGAAAGTGCAGAAAAAAGAGAAAAAATAGAAAAAGAAAAAAGAAAAAATATAGCAAAGGAAAAGAAAAGAAATATATAAAGAAGTAACTTCCCCCTTCATCACAAGACAAGTATCACCTTGTCTTAAAATACAACAAAAAAATCTCTTCATCCCATATCTCATCTCATATCTATAAACAGATTCTTATAACCTCACCATTCAGTCCTGGTCGGCAAAAGTCCATTAAGGGTTGCCAGAAATAACATATCTATTTTAACCATGATCAAATAAACCCACTTTATATTCCTTCCTTTTACTTCTTATAATCTTGACCTTTAATCCCTTTAAATAATATCCTAGAGCTTGTTTTCATTTTTTTCTTTGCCCTTCTCACAAAATCCTTCAGAACTTTAACAGATCTCTTTTGTAAAGAGACTGTTTTGGTTTGTCACTCTTTTGGTTTGTCACTTGTACATCCCTTTCAATTATTAAGACATCAGCCGGTTTCATTTGTATGTCCAGTGTAACATCTTTTTCCATATCACTCTTGCAGCCTGACATTTTCAAATGTACTTTCAGATCAGTCCCATCTGGCAAAACTTCTTCCTCTTCCACACCATCTTTTAAAAGCCTATAATGGCAGACACTTTAAAGATTAAATTCTGGATCCATTGCTCACAAATATCCTAAAATACAACAAGCACTAAAGTATTTTGCTTCATTCTGTGTTAATAAGTCAAATTTAAGTGTTCTTCTCCCTTAATTGTAATCTTTAGTTGTCTCTGGCTCCCTCTAGTGTCCAATGTTGAAATTCCCATCTTATGTTTTCTTTCAAGAATTCATAACAGCAGCATTTTCCCAAGGGAAGGATTCCCATGATCAATTTCAAAATCTTGTTTCAAATCTACCTGGACCCCTAGTCCATTTATAACTTTCCGAAATCAACATTCTAATCACCCTTTTGCCACTTGTTCCAAAAAAAAAAAAGTATTTTTTTTTTGTCCTCAAATTTCTCTTTAAAGCTTCTTTCGCTAAGGATTAAAGTGAACTCACCCAGTGCATGTTATCAGACTTGCCAACTGGAAAATTCTTAATAGTTGAAAACAATTAATAAGCAATTTCCAGAAGAAATGAGGCTCGGCAGAACTTTGTGACCATAAGGCTACATTCCAATAGAAGGCTACATTGCGGCTGTGAGCTTAGATGGAAATCTCTGGATTTCCAGCTGCTCCACTCATGGGCCAGCTGCAGAAACCTCAGTTCCTGCAGTTTACTCAAGAGAAGCAGCTGCCTGGAGTGCAAGTGGGCAATCTCACGATCTCTCCTTTATACAGAGAGGTTTGGCCAACCAGAAAATGCCGTCTGGCCACTGATCTCACCACAATGCTCCCTTGAAGATGTCTAGTTCGCCATGGGTCCTCACTGAAAGTCACAACCTTTTCATATTCCAAGGACAACATATTCACAGTATGAGAGCCATTACACACTAAAATGGACCTCTCATTATGCTTTCCCACCTTGTGGGTGAATTTCTAATGTTCAGCTTTCAAAATATGTCCCACCTTCACAATAAAATTATTTGTGTTTTGCATTACAGGTAGTCCTTAACTTACAACAATTGGGACCAGAATTTCTGTCGCTAAGCGATGCAGTTGTAAAGCGTGACTGCATCGTTAGGCGATGGCAATCCCTGCAGTCCCAGCTGCCGCTATTAACTGAATTGCGGCAGTCGTTAGACGAGGCAACTTCCTGCTGGCTTTCCACAACCAAAATCAGTAAGGAAGCCAGCAGGAAGCTGCAAGTCTCAGGCTGGCAGGCAGGTAAGTGGCTGCCGGTGGGTGGGGAGGAAGTGAGGGGATGCACAGGGATGCGGCACAGGCCAGGAAGGGTGCGCGGGGGTGCATGAGTGGCCAGTGTGGCCTGTGCAGAGGGCTGGGAAGGGTGCACGGGTAGGAGAGACTTACCCCAGCGATTTGCAATCTACCCTGCCTGCTTCCCCATTGACTTTCTGAAGAAGCCAGCAGGGAAGGTTGCAAATGGTGGTCAGGGACCAGTTGTAAGTTCTTTCATTCAGCACCATCATAACTTTGAACTGTCACTGAACAAATGGTTGTAAATCAAGGAGTACCTGTATTAAATTTTTCCACATAGGAATACATTTAGATAGCAAAACACTAGTTCTGAAGGACATCACATTCTTTTTGAAATATTTCAAAGCATAACCTTTGAGCTGGTTTAGATTCAACAAGCAATTTCTTGTTAATCTATTCCATTTATGCACCTAATTTCTCTTGGATGTGTTCGAGATAATGTGACCTCTTGCCATAAAAGCTGTTCAGTATTAAACAGCAGTAATTCTTTACTTACCCACAAATTCCCATTCTCGTCCAGTGAAAGACCCATCTCTGAGGCAGGGAAGGCAGGATGCTTTTTCCAGAGGAGATGGAGCAACCTCCCCAGAACCTCAGAATATGCTTCCAAGCCTCAGCACCCTCTCACTGCCACGAGTCATCAGCCAACCATCCATAAAACCAGGCTGAGGCTACTGAGGGATATAGATACACCAGCACCCCAAGCACCCTTAGAAGGGACATTTGGCCTCCTTCACTCAAGGAAGACCTGAACGTGTGGTAAGTACAGCATTACCATTTTTCACTTCCAAGCTCAACAGATCAGCCAGCCTGGGGTTGGAAGAAAGCAAGGGTTTCTTCTGAGTAGAAGTCAACAGATATATTGGGGCCCACTGGGGGAGAAATCAACTGAGGGCCAGACCCCCCCCCTCCAACAAATGCCCTCCATTCCCAGAAAGCTGCATCTCTGCACACCTTGGGTACACAGGTATGTTGGCTTGACTATTTTTACACTTGAGTGCTGCACTTTGCGATCTGACAATCCTTTTCTCTCTAAAGAACTGAGGAGTGAGGAGCCCCCCACCCTTGCTTAATGTCCCCAAACCAGCCTCAGGGCTTTCCTCTGCACAGGGCAAGAGTTTCACACTCATAGCCTGTAAGCCACATGTAACCCAACAATAACCCTTAGGAAAGAGGAAGCCATAGATCTCTTGGCTCATGAGGACCATCACAAAAGAATTAGGGGAGCAGTGCTCCCTATCCATTTTGGTGGTGTAAAAAGGGAGGTGAGAGCAAAGTAGATGGACAGATGGTGGAAAAAAGAGGGGGGAAGGAAAGTGCCATTCACTGGCAGTTCAGAGAATGACCGCCAGAAGTAGGACAGCAGCTTGCTGAATTCATTAAGCACCAGGGAAACTTCCTTGGCTGAGAAGAAACAGCTTCTAGCGCTAAAGCACCATTACAGCCAGGGTCTGCTCTCCCCTACCCATTGGTTCCCCATCACCATGGTTCCTCCTTTAAGCTGAGAAGGGAGCATCTATCCCCAGTACAGCCAGCCCTGGCCAGGATGGTGTTGCTCCCCAGCCCACCAGGGATGTGCATCAGGCAGAGGGTACTTGCATGGACAGTAGGGGGATGGTGGGATCGTGAACCCAGTGCAGGACAATGTCCTAGGGCTCACTTGGCCACCTGCAGGGTGGGGGTGAGGGTGCCTGGAGTTTCAGCACTTGCACATTAGTGCAGGGTTCCCAGCGCTCTTCCAGGAACCAATGGCTCTACTGCTGCTAGACACCAGCTTCTGTATCAAGTATGAAGCAGTGTCAGGGTGCAGCCCTCAGCCACATGTGGCAGTCCTGGTGATTTGCACTGGATGCCCTTGGCACAGGAAAGCCCTGTGAAAGGACAACTTGCCCTTTGTTCTGAGACTCTTTCAAGCAAGTGAAGGTGTGACTCCTGGCCAGATTCAGCAGGAAAAAGCGTGCTTGTGCCAGTGCAAGCTTGGCCAATCCTAGGACATTTCAAAGAGCCCCAGGGACTTCCTTGAAGGTGACACTGACAGGGCCTTCCACAATTACCCCATCTTGGATGCCCCATTTCCCCCATTACTATCCGTACATTAATGATCCAGTTATCTTAGTATTAAAAGTTTTAGGTACATCACTTTACACCTCAGCTAATGTGCATCTCTAATTTCTAAATATATATATAGCTCACCCTCAGGCTCATTAGCAAAATATTGACTCCCACAACCTAGAACCTTTTAGGTAAAGGGTCTTCCTGGATCTGTTGCTCTCTGGCCCTCACCCATGCAGCCAGACTGGTGCCAAGCACCAAATGCTGCCTCCTGAGGTTAAATTGTACAGGTAGTCAGTCCCCAGTTTAAGAACGAGTTCCGTTCCCAAGGTCTGTCCTTAAGTCGAATCTGTATGTAAGCTGGAACAGTATTACTGTATACTGCATATGGAGTATTGTGTAATTAACTCAAACCACTGTGTGTTTAACTCGAATCATTGTGAGTTTTGCTACAACAGACTCTGTTCTTAACTATGGGTCATCCTTAAACCAGGTGTACTTATCCCAGGGACTGCTTGTACTTCTAGCTATTCTATTCAATTTGTCCAGCCTTCTTGGCAAAGAACCAGAAACACAGACGTTTAGGGAGACTTAGCAAGCCAGCCTTAGCAGAAGAACGCTTCCTGCAAACAGCTGCACAGAAAGGGGAGCCCTTCTCAGGAAGCTGCCAGAGGCTCAAAAAGCCCAATTAAAAGCCCCAGCCAGGAGGTTCTGCACAGCCTTGCCTGAACGGTGAAGAAGGCTCCCCTGGACCTGGAGCCTTTTCTTCTGGCTGAGTTCCACAGACTCGAGTGAACACAGACGGCATTTTCTGAGAACTGTGGATAGATGCAAGAGACTCATAAAGGACTGATCTTGCCACAGAAGCCGATACCTGTTAAGCTTCCCTCCTTCCCCCATCCTGGATGGGTCTCCCTGAAACAAGAAAGCTGGGAGAGTATGCAAACACAGCGCAACACAGCCGTGCTGGGAGACAAACTTTTTTCCACCAGAGGTCTCTTAATCTCTGTTCCCAAAGGTCTTACCTGGGATTGTTTGTTGCAGCCAGCCCGTTTTTCCTTTCCTTAGCTTCAGGCTCTAAGAGGAAGAAGGAGAAAGAGCAGAATAATCTGACTTTCAAAGAGAAACCGTCCTCTTTCTCCCAGACAAGACCATGTTCAAGACAGCCTTCTCAACGCCCCTTTTCTCAACTGTGTCTCCCAGCTGACCAGGAGTGTATCCTGATAACTGAAGAGGCAACTAGCCCTCCCCAAAAAAGCCAGCCCCTCCTGGGCCAGCCGCCCCAGAGACCCCACATCACGATCCCTGGGCCGCCATTCTTACTCTCCAGGCTGAAAGGCAGGGGCTCCTCACTCTCTTCCATCATTGGGGTCACAAGGCTCCTGCGTAAAGAGAGCCCCCCTTTCTCTTCACAAGCAACCACAGAACTCCCTTGATGGCTCTTCTCCATTTTTGCAGCACTAACTGAAGCGCCCCCCACTGAGATGCCATCTGTGCCCTCTGCAGCGACAACAGGGTGGTCTGAATCGTTTCCAACCACTGAAACAAGCCAATTAAAATGTCAGCTTTAGAAGGGTTCTCATAGTTTCTAAAGTAGAGCCAGACACAAGACCCCCACCCACAACCAGCTTCTTTTCTGCAAGATCAATGGAGGTTCACGCCAACCTTGGCTAACTCTTCCAGCATCAAAAATGCTATTCAGGCAACATGCAAACCAGCCTCAGGAGTGAGACTGGGCAAAACCTTTTGGGTCACTTGGGTTGGCTGCCTCCAGAGGGGTTTTCTTCATCCCTCCAATTTGGGAAACAAAAAATACAGGGATGTTTCAGCACCACTCTGACTCTTGTGTCCATTGCCCATAGGATGCATGTCTTCTACAGAAACCCTCTCTTCCCACCCCAAGTGAATCCACTCACCAATGGGAGTGCTGTGCCTGGGGCCTTTCTTATGCTGGCCAACGAGAGGGGGGGTGATACTTGTTAGGGGTTGAAAGACATCTCTCTCTTTCGCTAACGAGATACGAAAGGGAGGTTCTGAAATGACAAGCAAAATAGACAGCTCAGTTCATGAACTTACAACACAATTATACCTTCCTGTTTATCTTGCCTTCATACAAAAAAAATCAATCAAACCAGCATTCCTTAAAATAGAATCACTATTGTTGCTATCAGTCTGAATCAATTCACTTCAGGACGAAGGCTGCTTCACTGAAGGTTAAGAACCATAATCTGTACCACACTGGTCCAAGTGCTGCTTGGTGGATAGATGTTTTTCAACTCCCTATTTTAGGCTGAGAATGAGGGAGGACCAGACCCTGGCTCTCCCCCTCCTAGTCCTGCTTCTTTACCACCAGACAACCTGGCTCTGGGGTTGAGAGGGAGGGACCAGCCCAAAGTCCCTCAGAGGACTAGAACCTGGATCTCCCCACTCCTGGTCCAGCACCTTTCCCTCTAATCACACTGGCCTGCAATTGAAATAGAATAAAACAGTGCAAGATTACTAAACGCATAAATACTGAAATACCCACAATGGAGGAACATGTTGCGAAGATGAGAGAATTTGCAGAAATGGCAAAACTGACCCTTTCGATCAGGGATAAAACAAGTACTTTTATAAAAGACTGGAAACCTTTTATGGACTTTTTGTTGAAAATGGAAGAAAATTAAATGGTGACTTCTAGATTTGCTGATTGAAAAAAGGGTTGAATATAGGATAGAAGGGAATCTTGCAATGTAACTTCGAAGAGGGAGGAGGGATAATAAGTTTCAACAGAAGAGAATAAGATACTAAGTTTGTTTGTAAAGAAAACTGGAAGACTCTTCTTTAATTATCTTTCACTTTTTTCTTTTTCTACTTGTATTGCTTTCAGCACTTTTTTTTTCTTTTAACATTTTTATTAATATGTTTTCTAACTTTTAAAACTTTTAATATGTAAAAATCTTTAATAAAATTATATATATAAAGAAAGAATAAAACAGCAAAAGCAGAGGATTACTGTTAATTATGCCAAAAAAATTGCATGGGCTTGTCCAAGCAGTCACCACAACCCAATTCTCCCCCCCCAACTCACCATATAATGGAAAGGGAAGGGCAGATAGGCAACCCAGAACACCTGTTCCTGTCACACCTAGTCCATGCCCCCTGTTTGCCAAGGGGAAAAAACTCAGAGAGTTTCACAGAAACAGTTTCTCTGATGCCTCCATCATCCACAAAGAGCAGCAACAGAGGAAAATCGCCAACACAGGCTGAAGAATCTCGCCCAGATGAAAGACCTGCCCAGCGTGGGACTCCAGCAGACTCGGCTTCCCCTGCTGCTCCAATCTGCCCAGACAGAAGGGCCCAAGCAGGACGCTCCGCTCCGCTCCAAGAATGAGAGAAAACAGGCCTTGAGTTGGAGGAGCCCCAGCTGAAGAGCAAGACATCCCAGTTCAGGGAGACATTTGGAAGAGGTCACAAAGGCCAGTTCAGCTAAGTGGGCAGGACAGAATGTCTAAAGATGCAGGGAGAAGGGAAGGAAGATGAGACTTGGACTTAAGAAAGAAGAAAGAAAATGCACTTGGAACAAAAAACACTTTGAGCCCAAGGGGAGCCAAAGCAACATAAAAGAGGATTGCTTCAATTAAGGAGAGAGTAACACCAAAATATCTACTTCTTTTTCCCTCTCTCTGAAGGAACAGCTCAAAGACAGAGCATGCACAGGTGTGATAGACGTTCCAAGCTTGACAAAGGAAGAACAAAAACGAGGGCTCAAACAAAGTGGGACTTGATTTCTTCAGGAAGATTTAAAACCCTACAGCCCAAGGTTATAAATGGTTATTTCAACTTCCTGTAAATGGTAGGAGGAGCTAAACCAAATATGCTGAAGGAATAGAATTAACTGGACTAGATCACTTTTAGCTCCAGTGACCTCATGAACTCCAAGGACTTAGCACCAAATCAGTAATCAGAGCAGAAGAGTTATTATGGTTTTAAACAGAGAGGAATTACCACAAAAGTTAATACATTTTATGTGAAAAAAGAGCAAAATGCTAAGGCTGATCAAAGAAACATTTAAAAAGAGAAGAGTCTCCTGTAAAAGAAAATGAGAGGAGCATTCATAGGCAGGAAAGTGAAATGGTGTGTTTTAACCGTGGGAAGAAAAAACATATAAACTCTGAATGTCATAATGGGAAGAGCAGAATCCCTTGCTGAAAAATCACCCCATTTAAACTCAGACCTTCTTGAACTTTACTCGTGAAGTGTGATCATGTAATTTTTGAAAGAACTGGTGATGGTGGATCAGCAAACCACGTTGGGAAGAGATACTCATTTTTTTTGAGTCAGTCTGACAGTGGCATCAAACCTCTCCTACCCTCCCCTTTAAAATCCATAATTAAAATGTTTATTGCTGAAAATGCTACTAATGTTTTCTAGTTGCCTATGCAGAAGCATCCATAGGATTTTCACTTTCAAAGGTATGTTTGGAAGGAAAATAATAGGACTGTTTTCTTTGTTATACAACAGTGCGAAGAAAATCTCCTAATAGAGTTAGGGTTAGGGTTACTAAAGCACTAAAGCACAGGGACGACTTCAGTAAAACTACAAGTCGGACCAGGTCTCAGGAAGAGCGAATGTCCTGACATCAGATAAATGCCAGTTTTGTACTGAGGGAAGGATTGTGGTATTTCGTCCCTTGAAGTCTGATAAAAATCCAAAGCTGGACAGGAAGCACCTTACGCACTCCTGCTCAAAAGCTCCAGTGGTCCACATGGCTTCTTGTCCTGTGCCGGCTGCTCGGCAGCTTCTGGGCACAATTCAAAACACTGTTTTTTACCTCTAAGCCTCTTATGCCTTGGCACCTGGGCATTCATAGAGCTGTTGCTCAATCCAAAATGAATCTCTAGGGAGAAATTATCCCTAGTTCCCCCTTTGGGAAAGGGAAAGAAGCTGAGACCAGGAGAGGCTGCTTTTCCGTAGCAGCGCCAGTTCTCAGGAGGACTGGCCCCAACCTGACAACATTCAGGAAGATGCTGAAGATGGAGTTTATTTATTTATTAAATCTATATGCCACCCAACTCCCAGCAACTCTGGGTGGTTTACAAATGGTTAAAAAACATTAAGAAAACAACACAAAACAAAAAAGAACAAAGATGGCAAAGGTTAACAAACCTAGATGGGAACAAAGAAAAAGAAGAAAAGGGAGCTTCACAGGGCCTGGGCAAAGAACCACGTCTTCAGGGCCCTACAAAACACCAGTAGGGCGGGGGGGCATTTGAACCTCAGGGGAACCTCATTCCAGAGGCCAGGCAGTGCTACAGAGAAGGATGCTCTTCCGGGTCCCGATAGATGGCATTAACTGATGGAACCCGGAGCATGCCAACCCT